TGTGTCATGGTGTGTGTCTGTGTCATGGTGTGTGTCTATGTCATGGTGTGTGTCTGTGTCAGTCTGTGTCATGGTGTGTGTCTGTGTCATGGTGTGTGTCTATGTCAGTCTGTGTCATGGTGTGTCTATGTCATGGTGTGTGTCTGTGTCAGTCTGTGTCATGGTGTGTGTGTCAGTCTGTGTCATGGTGTGTGTGTCAGTCTGTGTCATGGTGTGTGTGTCAGTCTGTGTCATGGTGTGTCTATGTCATGGTGTGTGTCTGTGTCAGTCTGTGTCATGGTGTGTGTCTGTGTCAGTCTGTGTCATGGTGTGTGTGTCAGTCTGTGTCATGGTGTGTGTGTCAGTATGTGTCATGGTGTGTGTGTCTGTGTCATGGTGTGTGTGTCTGTGTCATGGTGTGTGTCTGTGCCAGTCTGTGTCATGGTGTGTGTCTGTGTCATGGTGTGTGTCTGTGTCATGGTGTGTGTTTGTGTCATGGTGTGTCTGTGTCGTGTGTGTGTGTGTGTGTCTGTGTCATGGTGTATGTGTGTGTCTGTGTGTATTTAAAAAGTGTTTTTACTCACCTTTTTTTTTCTCCCCACACTGTGCTGGTCTCCCCTCGACTGGCCCTGCCTCTATGGCTGAGATCATCAAGCTTGATGATCTCAGCCAATCCAATGTTCTGCCATAGGATTGGCTGCAAAGTCCCTGAATGTAGGTGATGCACACTGTGCAGCACTGACACAGGAAGCGCCTCTAGTGACTGTCTGAGTGTCTGTTACTAGAGGTGTCACTAGGAAGCAATGTAAACACTGCCATTTCTCGGAAAAGTCAGTGTTTACATTGAAAAGCCTGCAGGGACAGGCTATAGACACCAGAACCACTACATTAAGCTGTGTGTGTGTGCGCCTGCTAGTGAGTGAGCTTGCTTGCGTGTGTGTGTGTGTGTGCCTGCTATTGAGTGAGTGAGCTTGTGTTTTTATGCCAATGAGCTTATGTATATCAGTGACATTGTTTGTCTATGAGGCTGTGTATCAATGAGCTTGTGTGTGTCAGTGAGATTGTCTGTATCTGCAGGTGCGTATGCTTAATGTATAATTAAATGTTTTACTCTGAAAGGACCAATATTATATGTTAGAAAAAGCAATATATATATATATATACATATATATATATATATTACTCAACCATCTGGGGTGGTAAGACATTGCCTTACATATTACATATGGCAATATATGGCGCAATGACTTATGGGGCTGGCATAGATTTTTTTTCCAGGGCTGCTTTGTATCCCCAGTCCGGCCCTGCTTATATGTCACCTCTATTCCCCCAAAATTTAGCTTCTTCTCAAATTTCTCCCTATTTCCTGTTGCCACTGACAAAACTCTGAATCATGAACTAAATGGCTCTTCCATTGCCATTTTTGTGTTGTTTTGTGATGTGTCCATGTGACTTTAGGAGCTGTAAATCATCAATTACCCAAAAATTTGGACAAACTGCATTTAAAACCAAATTCACAAGTTTAACATATTTACAAGACTTTTGGTTCCGAAAGTCTCACTGAGAATTATGGCAGTTGCAGTTCTAACCATCTGAAATGTACTTGGTTTACAGATCTTTTTTTAATTATTATTATTATTTTCTTCTTTATTTGTTTCTTAAATTTCACATACAAAAATGCCAAAGATAAATACATCTTATATATATGAAGGTCACAACAATATACAATAACAACATACAAAAGAGACATGTATCGGATGTCAGTGTCAGGAGGAGTAACAATACTCAGCGCTCCACCAGGAAATCTAAGAAATAAAAAATGTAAAAACAGCAGGGTATAGCAAAAGGTGAGAACCAAAAGAGAGCATATAATACTATACAAAATCTTATATCTTTTCTGATTAACACAAAATACTGAAGCAATTACTCTTTCCATCATATATTGAGACTTAATAGCGTGCTTTATTTGTGGCCAAGTTTCAAACAAAGATGGATTTCATTTCTTGGCAATTTACATTTTAAAAGCCATTGAAGGGACACTATAATCACCAGAACAACTACCGTGTATTGTTTTTGTTCTGATGAGTAGAATGAGTCCCTTCAGGCTTTTTGCCTCTTCTGAGAAAATGTAGTGTTTACATTGCAGCCTAGTAGTGATACCTCCAGTGGCCACTCCTCAGATGACTACTAGTGGTTCTTACTGGGGCAATGTCAGTGTCTCCACCCTCT